GGAAGATGGAGCCATAATTAAAAGTACAAAGGGAGAGGAGTTAAAAATGCAGGGAAAGTTGCACAATCTGAGGAAGGGAAGCAAAATCGGTGATATCCCTGCAGAGGGCTGTGGATCCTGAAACCACACATCAGAGCACTGCACTAGCAACAAAGACTCCAGCTACTAAAAAGGCAGAAGGAAATCAAGAGGCTTCTGCCCAGGGGAACTAGAGGGAAAGTGGAACATTAGAAAGAAACATAGGAAAACCATTCTGGAGTAGATATCAGTGAGCAGGCCATGGATAGCTATCTATCAGCCAGAACTTCTGGCCAGGTACCACCTCTTAAATAAGCTAGATGATACTTTCAATTACAACTGGCTGGCCATCTTGCTGAACCTCATTTTTGGACACCAGCTGATAATGGGGGCAAACTGTACCGCCACCTTTACAATCTCAACTTTAGGCCTCGGCTTTCCTTTTCCTCTCCCCCGGCCTGCAAATTTTACACCTGTGTCCCAAACATTTTGACTGAGATGGCTGCCATCAACAGGGTGTTCAGACAAGCCAGAGTAAAGAAAAAACGTCACCAACTTTTCATGTGCTTTCCAGACAGCTGTGCTGAACACAACCAAATATCCTTGGTTCAAGTATCCTTTGTTTTTATGATGGTACAATTTTGAAGTGAACCATACCTCTAGGTTAGCAGCAGGGGAATTCACACCTGAGAAAGCAATTCCAAGTCCCATTCAATCTGTAAGAATAGGTCTCCCTGCTAGCAGCACTCCCTACGTTCTCCAAATCCTGAACAGAACGACGTGAAAGAGAATTCAGACAAACAGGTCTACACAAAAGCAAGGTGAAAGATTCTAACGCAACAACTTGAGTTTGCAAGTTCCCATGCCCCCTAACCAGTTCTCTCTGAAACATCTCAACAACAGGATGGTCTGCCAGCAATTACCATAGATTTGCCTTTCACAGATTTAATTTTGTTGCAAATGTAATAAACCCTGGTTTTCAACAAAGTGGTCATACACACTTGATAATGATCAACTGACATCCCAAGACAGGACTCACCAAAGGTCCACAGATCATATTATGATGCCTGAAAGGATGAAGGATTTTTTCACAGTCCTACAGCTTCAAGGTGAGATGTCATTACAACTTAAGAACTTTTTAATAACAGCTGATTTGTATACGTTTCTCTACGAAGTGTGCAACCAACTCCTCCACCTCTTCCAGTACAAAAGCACATTGGCAGATAAAGTATTGTACAGCAGCAGTGTTGCCAGGAGCAATGATATAAATCAGTCATTTTGCAGCGAATGCACTTTTGTAATCCATTTATTTCAATGCGCTGCTGGGTGAAAATTATTAAACTAGAATATATCAAACAGATTTTCCCACCACAAGCTATGCTCTATCAGCCTCAGTCTTAACCAACAAATATGGCTGTGCATGTCTTGGAGTTTTGTATGTACCTGTGCATACATATGTAAATCAAGTTCTTTGTGCATTGAGTCTCCATTTCACTAAGTTTCATACAATTTCCAATTGTGTGTGTATATAAACATACATATATATATTGAAATCTGTATTATGCTATTTATATACACACCTTTGTGTGTGTGTGTGTGTGTATATACACACACACACACACACGCACACACTCAAAACTAAACAAATTATACATACCATATAGATATGATCAGATTTAAATACTGCATATAGATGGGGAAGGAGAGAGCTGAATACAGTTCCTGTTCAGTCTTCATTGCTTTCTGATCATGATCTGATCATGATTTTGCCCCAGTTTAAAATTATTTTTGAAGGATACAGCTGGGTGTAACTAAATCCATCTTTGGTAGAGAATATGCCTTGCTTCCACCCTTGCAACAATTCCTCCCCAGGATACAGTGCTTACCCTGTGGGAGGACCCAGATGTATAGCATACATCCGACGAAGAACGCCTCCAATGGTCAAAGTAAGTCCCAATCCGTCATCATAAACAATGGAAACATCTTAGTTGGAACTGGGACATTGCACAAGGCATAGCACGGCCTAGGAAAGGGTTAACTCAATTGCTTATCAAGTCATTGTGAACCCTTAAAAGAAAATAACCACGAAAGGTAATCCGGATACAGCACAGCAATCAAATGGCCGGACTGCGACACAACAAGAGTGCTAGACTGTAGCCTAAAGTGGCTAGGAAGAAAGCTCAGATAGCAACGAGGACCAAATAGAAAAACTGCATGCCACATGAACTGGAGACAGAGGGACCTTAATCTAGACATACTGTACATGACTTTAGATAGCAGAGAGTTCAATATACAGACAACCAGAGTTCTGTGCGTAGCTTACTAATAAAATCATTTGGGTCAGGCAAGGACTCCACCACCTGACAGGTTCTGTGCTAAGTTACAACCTCCAAGATACTAAGGGTGAAAACATATAAAAGCTACTTTCCATCTCAGTCCACTGGCTGATAGGAAGGACAATGCTGTGGAGCCAATGAGGTATAATTCAGAACCTAAACCCCAGAATATGGAGGAATCATTCACTGTCTTAAAAGCAAGAAATCTTGGGCATTTCTACAAGTTTATCTAACTATTTATAAGATGCCTAATCACTAATTAGGCACAAGAGACCAAGTTCACTACTGTCTTTTCAGACAAAGAGCCCCTCCAAATTCACACTGTGCAGCGAAGGTTGGGGCTCACTCCTAACATATTCTGGGCCACGTAGAGCTGCTTATTGGATATGTTTTAAACACATTTTTAAAGCTTTCACCTGAAGTCATGAAGTCAATGCTCAAAGCTAATGAACATGAAACATAAAAGGTTAAAATCTGCTACTAACACTGCAGACTTGATGCAACTTACCCTACTGCAGTGGCTGAAATTGCATCAAGCCAAGAGAAAGACCAGATTCCTACGGACATTTCCCCTTCTCCTCTGAAAGAGATCCCAAGCAGGCTGCACTTAGTCACAGAACTATACCAGCTGGAAATGCAGCCCCGGGAAGCCAAGAATTGCAACTGAGAAGAGATTGTGAACAAGCTATTGGCCTCACCAGGTACTTAATGGGGCTGACACTCCCAACCATGGATTTCAAGTAACTCCTGGGATCAGCTGCAGGTCTGTTGTATTTGGTTAAAAACATTTCTGCTTTGACATAGTAAATTTTTTGAGTGCCCAACTTAAGGGATCTTAAAGAGGCCTGATTTTTATAAACTGCTGAACCTCAACTCTCTGAAAATCAGACTCCGCTAAAACATCTCCAACTGGGCACTCAAGGTTACTAATCATTTAATTGTTTTTGAAAATCTTGGCTGTGAAGTGAAACTGGCTTCTGAACAGCCTGGGGAGCAAGCAACAGTGAGTGTGAGGCTTCCCTCCCAGCACAATGCATCTTTCAATGATTTCTTTTCAATTGCATGAAGGAGGGAGAGAGGGCTCCAGAACAATGGAGGTGGAAAGCATTTGCTTACCAAATACCTGAAGTTGGGAGACAACACAGCTGTATCAGCTGCAAGAAACTGCCTCAACAACAACTTGCGAGTTCACAGGGCTGCTGAGTGTCATCTCATTTTACTTCCTGCACTCTGGACTTCATTTCTGACACTCAAATAAAGGAAATCCTCAGTCTACCCTAAGAACAAAACAAAACGTGTATCTTTGGACAAATAAATGAGAGCCTTGTGTTGTGGGCACCTCACTTCCAGAGACTGATACCGAGTCGGTCTGTTCTGCTGGGACAAGGGGGAACATTTCATTCTTCACTTTTCTATACCAATATACTTTTAAGAACATTTAATATGCAGCATAATGTACGTCTACATCATGCATTTCAAAATAAAATATTTTAAAAAACAAACAAATATGGCTGGGGCGCTTTTGCTCACAATAACAGATGTGTGTCAGGGCTATTTTTCATACTCACAAGGTGAAGGCCTTCAGATTCGCACAGATGAGAATACAGCTGAAAATATGCTATTTGGCTACCTATGTGCCAAGCCTCATGCTTTTATTCCAAAGTGAATGATTTTCCAGCTTAGATCTTGGACTAGTAAAATAAGCGGCATTTCAAATGTGACCAGGTGGGTTTCAGCACACAGCTTACACACAAAAGCAAGCCCAGCTCCGTGTTTAAAGCCTACAGGAGTATAGACTGATCACAACTTATGGCCGTCTGCTGTTATGAGCCTGAGCCTGGTACTAAAAGTGGCCCATCTTCTACACCCGTACGACCTAGGGCACAAGTCCAGGCTGGACACTTCATGCTTACGCAGAGACTCCTTTGTTCCAGGGTCAAGTACACAACCTTACATGACCTTGCTCCCGGGCAGTTCTAGGTACTGTCCTTTTCTCTGCACTGTTCTACCTCCCAGTTCCTGAGAGCAGTGTGCCTCCCCAGCCCCCTCCACAACCGTCTACATGGGGCGTTACAGCAGGAGTCCTGTGCTGGGGCCACATCATTCTCCATTGCTGTCACTAGGTACAAAGTGCAAAAGTGTTGCTGTTCCTGCATCCATTAAAAACTTTAAAAACAGAACAAAAAGATTTCCATATCAATTTGAAAATACATTAGTCTCCAAAAAGCCAGCAAGCACCTGATAACCTGTCTGTGCCACGTCAGCTCCTGTCCCTGCGTGGCGGCAGTCCTGGGGTGACTGTCCTCTCAGATGGCAAACACAACATGCTATTGTCTTTGCACGCTCTCCAGCCCAACGTAGGACGACGACATCCATAGGGTTGAGTTTTGATCGCGTGGACGGAAATAACCAGTTGCTAAATGTTCCAAGCTCCTGCAGTGAACTGTCACGCCCCAGAAACAGAGCACTGTGCAACTCACTGGAATGCAGAGACAGCCCACTGCTCAAGACAGTTCAGTGTTACACTAACTTTGCTATCTGGCCTCTGGCTTGGGACACAATGTCATTGTCTTCCCTTTCACCCCCTCCCGCCCCCCAAAAAATCCCCAGCCCTCCCTGCCTCATCCCATTTAAAGTGTTTGTTTTATCTTTACCTCCTATGAAATGTTTCTGATAAGGCTTTATTGCTATACAAAAGCGGTGCAAATGCTGCCCAAAGACAGCTCCATCAGGAACTTTGGTCACACGACTGCAGGACTTATTGTGCACCGTCCAAGTCCCAGCGTTAGACCTGCTACCCTTCTGAAGAGACGCTGAATACTGTGTGCAATAACACTAAGAAAATAGGATTGAACCCCGAATAGAAAACAAAAACAAGGGAAGAAGAGGGAGGGGGACAAGGTACTAAAATTAGGCAGAAGGCTTCCTTGGGTAGGGCCGAGTCACTCCTGTGATGACTAACTGATCAATGCTACATTTAGACAATACAAGTGTCTTCCGGAACAGATTGTTGGTGTTGAAATCGTGTGTCTGGTCCTGAATGCCAGCTCGCTCATCAATGCAGCATTTATTAAAAAATAAAATTAAAATGAAAAAAACTGACAAATTGCATCACCAGGTAGCAGCCTGGCCTGGATCAGACATGTCCCATTGCATTTGCTTCATCAAGCAGGGCCATTTAATGTGGCTTCCGCACATGGCAAGACCTCCTCTTTCCTACAAGAAAAACAAATAGTATTACAGTAAGCATTAAAGAACTAAGACCGCTGTGCCACCCACCCATCTTCTTTCAACCTTACACTGATCCGAGCATTCACCTGGACAAATCACCTTTTCTGTGACGCTGAAGCCATCCTTCCAGCGTATAGTTTTTTCCAGTAGCCATGACCACAACATTAATAACTTAGCACTTGTATGGCACTGGACCGCCCCATGTTACATATGGAGAACTTGCAGTAAAGGTGTCCAAGGCCAAATGTCTAAACAAGGATTAGAAGCCATATGCTCCTGGTTCTCAAGTGTGCACTCATATAAAATGTACTGGATACTTTACAATCCGATTGGCTGATGGCTGTGCTAGTGGAGTAGAACTACCTGAACGCTGGGTTTTCTCCTGTAATACATCAAACAGCAGCTGAAGGAGGTGTCTAAAATCACCCTTAAGCCGTGAACAGTATTAATTAATGATGGATGCACTCCTTCAAAGAGGCTGATATTACCTGTACCCTCTCCTCCGACTGCTTCACCCAACCCACCATCACCCTCAGTCTTGTCTGGGCAGAGTCTCGGCCAGCCCCAATCTCAACTAGACACTGGGTGAGGCACTGAATCAGATGAGACAGACATATGTAGCTGGGTGTCATCAGCCCACTGCACCCTGTGCCTCCTCACTAACACTTCTAAAAGCTCCTCCCACGTGTTGAACAGGAGGGGTGACAGAATGGCACCCTATGGCACCCTAGACTTGAGAGCTCTTCGGGACAGGGGCAACTGCCCACAACTACCCGTTGAGATCTGAGAGAGAAAAGAATGAAGGCACTGAGTGAAGCCCCATCTGCTCCTGCCAGGGTATCACCTCTTGATTAACTGTATTGAAGGCATAAAATACCACCAGCATGGAGCCTTGGTCTTTATTCATCGCCAGCACATCATCAACCAATGCAACCTAATGAAGTCTTGGTGCTGTAGCCAAATCTATATCCAGATTGATAAGGGTCAAGGAGATCAAAGGCATCCAGATACTTGGACAGTTGTCTCATACCAACCTTCTCCACAAGGGAAGATGATATACTGGACAATAAATTGTCAGTGTGAAGTGACGACTTCTTCAGCAAAGGACAGACTATTGCTTTCTTCAAAGCTATCGGCAGCCTGCCGTTTCTAAAAGATGTGTTGACAATCTTCACAGGTAAGGCGACCCGTTACTTCCCAAGTGGTCTTCACCAGACAGGAAGGATGCGGATCCAAAGCACAGGTTGTGGGACAAAGTTCTCCCAACACCTCCGTTAGTTCAGGGAACATCACTGGGTGAAACACTCTCAGAGAAGATGAGGACCTTGTTCCCTCAAGACCCTGCTCTGCCACCACAGAGGTAGACAGCCAATTGCTAATCTGATCTACTGTGTCCACAAAAGGACAAACAACTTCCTCACAGCTGGTGGAACTCCGACCTGCTACACAACTGAGACAGTCCAGGTTGACCAGACTACCTATTGCGCAAAACAAATCTGATGTCTGAGATTTTTCTTTGCCTCCCACAGAACCACAACACAAGAATTTAAAGAAAATCTTTATGCTGCAACTTTCCAGCCTCAGCACAAAAACTTCCCTCTCGCCTCATTTGTCAGAGATCATCTGTAACATAGCATGACCTGTAAGAACAAAGCCAGCAAAGAGGGCACCCAGGGGCCATCTCATCAACGGTGGGAATGGGGCGGGAGGAGAGTATTACAGCGCTCTACCAACCCGTCGAGGGAGTGGTCTGTCAATGGAACAAGATTCTCCCTCAGAGCTCTCTAGAACATTTCTAGTTCCATGACTCTCCAAGGGCAGACTATCTAAACAGGTCCCTTCCTGACAAGACAGATGAGCCCCAACCTCAAAGCACAGGAGGTAATGGTCAGTCTATGACAGATCTGAAGGTCCAGTTGCCTAGCCTGAAATCCCAGCCAATGTGTGAGTTGAGACAGTAGCTACCAGGGATAGGACCATGGTCATCATGGTGGCCAGGAAATCCTGAGCTGATTCTTCCTCTACATGCAGACTGAAGTTGCCCATAGCACGCTCTGCATTTCCAATACCACTGTAGTTAGGAATTCAGTTAGCTTGTGAAGTGACTTGGCAGCAAAGTCAGGGAAAGTGGTACACTAAAATCAGTCCCATCTTACTCCTATCCTGAGACTTTCATACTAAATGGACACGTCATCAGACGCAGTTTTGGAGAAGACCGTCTCCTATGCCTCAGGATGGATGCAGTGAGCATGGCTACACCTACTCCCCACTGACTCCTCCCCCAATCTTGATTCATGATGTATTAAATACCCAGCCGGGGAGAATGTAACAAAATTGGCCCAGCAGCATCAATCAACCAGAGAACGTTAATACATGCAAAGTCAGGGGGTTCGTCTATTATGAAATCACAGATGGTTGATCTATTTCCCAAGTGAGCATTAAGCATCATGAACCAAAGGCTCCTGAAAACTCAGCCTCCCAAGGAGATGAAACCAAAGAAACAGAAATTAAACGTCTTGTTCTTGGCTGACACCATCACCTTGTCTCCCCCCGCTAACTACCACAGGGACCTAGGACTCCAAGTCCACACAACCCTTTCCTGGGCCCCCATATTCCTGGGAATGGCAGCATCATTCCACGCTCTCAGCCGCTTGACAGTGGCCATCGGAGGGGCTGCAGCTGCGTGCCCAAACAGTGACCCCTAGGGCTGGCTGCAGAAAGGCATAATAAAAAATGAAGAAACAAAATGACAACGAACAAACCTACACACACCCTATCTAACCCAACACCCAACTCGCTCTCTTTCATCAAAGGACTTCTCTCATATTACAATGCCAACTCTCTATAAAAAACCCTGATCCCTTGACGGGCTAGCTGGGTGAACAAATGGCAGAAGGGGCACAGGAGAGTTAGGAAGTTAAAAGGAATGTCCTTATGTTGGGGTGGAGAGCCAATCTCACTTGTGTTAGACCCTTCTGCCTGGTACTCTCCTCCTCCAGTCCCAGAGCCTCTTTGCCTTCTGCTTACAATTTATTGTTTCTACAAAGCATTTTGTGATCCTCTGCATTAAGGACACCAAACAACAACAAGATGCATCAAAATTAACACGATTCTGAAAATGCTTCGTCTCTCCACCTAGAAGTGTTCTAACTGCAGCCAAGCACTGCCACGTGGGAATCAGGCGTCTGAGAGCAAGGACCAGGAAGTGCTACGAAGGCTGTGTGCCTGGCCCCGGGGGTGGAGGAAGTGCCTCATTATTGAGGGACAGCTCTCTGGCTGAAACACAGCGTAAAATGCCTCCATGACAACAGGGCCTTTGAGGATGACATCACTGGAAATCCCCAAGGACCAAGCTACATAAAAACCCTAAAAAGTGACATTCCAACAACTTTATAATAAGCACTTCCCTCTACCTCCCTGACTCCCAGTCTCAGTCACCAAAACTATCCTCCAAATTTCTTCTCCCACATGATTTTCATTTGTTAAAAAAAAAAATCACTAAAGCTTTTAAGGTTCTTTTTAAAAAAAACTAGACCATTTCCTTATGCAGAGTGAATATTAAACATCAAAGGCCTATGATTTATTTTTCATGGCATCAAAGATTTGATAAAATCCGTAAGAAACTGCAGGATGTGTGCATTATATTGTAATAGTCTAACACACTGTGCTTTCAGCCTCATGTGTCACTAGGCACCCAAGACAGACCAGCATGCATTCTACTGTGCGCTAGTGCTAAGCGGAGGGATTCAGTGGTTTGGTACAGAATAAATTACCGTTTTTGTCTGACCCACGGTGGTTAGAAAACTTCGACCCGCTCACCTGTCTTTTGTTGTGCTCTCTGTGGCAGCCATGCCGACAGCTGCAGCGTTCTGGAGCTCCTCAGAATGCTGGGGCATGCTGTTTAGTGGTTTGGACACCTTTGTCGTTCCCATGTCGGTGATGGTCAGCTTGTCAATAACCAGGCAGTCTGCATCACTGTGTGAGGAGAACTCAAGCTCAAGTCAAACTGGCAATTGAGGGGTGTTAAATTCCAATGGAGAAAAATGGATTCTCCTCCTCGCCTAACAGAATCCACCATTCCCACAAGTGGAGTCATGTAATGAATGAATTCAAATGAACAGTAAAATCGAACTGAAATTAAAAGCATTCTACCTATCCTGGAGGCTATGTTCCCTAAAATCAGGACACTGAAAACGCATAAAACCACTGATTCCCACAAAGGACACTTCCAATCAGTGCCACAGAAACAAGCCAACGAGCTTCCGTACATTCTTATTCCCTGGAAGGAAGACGCGTTAGTACTCTCCTAGATGCAAACGCTATTAATAGCATGTTGTCCAGCGATGGAGAATGGAGAACAAGTACTGTCAGCCTGCTAAGTCATCAGCAGAAGGGACCCAACAAATGAGGGGCATTCAAATGAGAACCTTACAGGTTAGCAGGCCAAGTTCACTTCTGGATGAAAGAAAATGACTCACCTATAATAGTGGATGGAGATTATCCATCACTATTCTCGGGGCCGTGCTCCGGTACTCAACCAAGGCTGGAAATTCCCAAGCCCAGAGTTCTTAAATGTTAGTTCCAGCAGAGCACATTTCACATGGTCACCCGGGCACCCCTTCTGCTCCAACCTACAGCTGGCAAGTGAAGTCACGCCCATGTGTGTTTTTTAAAAAGTTTCATTTAAGTACAGAACCTGGAGCTCTATGGGGAGGAAGGTGGACAAGAGGGGATATCTTATGATTGGTAATTTTCAGACCACAGTTACAGGTAAGTAATTCTCACCCCTGCAAAGATTCCCAAGAGAACAGATCCCCAACACTTGGAGATTAACAGTTCCAAGGATGTCTCTATAAAACAAAATACAACATAAGAAAATGAAAAAACCTGCAGCAGGCAGTAAAGATGCAGGCCAGGTAAATCTATCTTGGACGTTAACACTAAAGAACACTTTTCAGAGTGGAGAAATAAGATATTTCTATAAAATTTGGTGTGTTTTGTACTTTAACACAGTGAGATAAAATACCTCTAAAAACAGGCAAGAGGAGTTTAAAATACAGAGAGCCTAAAAATAAAGTCAGTTTGCTCCGAGTTAGGAGAGTTTGTCTGCCCCTAAACTGGAGAGAGTGATTCTGTGACACTGACAGACCAGACCTCTACTCGGGCCTAAAGGATGAATCTAAGTTACAATGCTTTGGGAACATATCATGCTGACATACACTGTATGACTGCACTGCAGATCTCAAATTAACAACATTATTTAATACTTATATTGCAGGGGTTAGAATGTTGCCGCCAGAGTAAAACTTGCTTCGTACAGAATGGGCTTTGATGTGACAAACCTGTACTGCTGCCAGGTTATTGACATGAGAGAGGCAGCCAGCCACTTACACACGCTTCTTTTGGAAACAGTGAAAACAAAGCAAAACTCTGAGATCCTGAGGATTTTAGTCTACTCCAGATAAAAACTTAGGGATCTTCTGACATGCAGCTTCTGGAGAACGGCTATTCTGCAATGAGCATATAGGCATGGAAGGGAAGCTAGCAGGGTGAGTGACTGGTTAAGTAGAAATCCGGTCGCCACCTTATGGAGGAATCTAGGATGTGTCCATATCACCATAGTCTGGTGGTTAAAGCATGGGATAGGCAATCTGATTTGGGTTCTATTCCTACCTCTGCCACTGCCTTGCTCTGTGGTCTTGGACAATTCACGGTCTCTCTGCCTTAGACTTCCCCAGTTGTAAAAATAGACTTTTATAAGGTGCTTTAAGATCCTCTGAAAGGAGCTAAACACAGTAAGTGCAAAATGTTGTACTATCTTAAAAAGAATTTGCATGAGATGAGATCAGAAACTAACGCCTGTTATTATTTGTTATTTGTATTATCAAAGCACCTATTTACGGACCAAGATCCCATTAAGTTAGGTGCTATACAAGCACAGAACAAACAGAAGCTCCCTGGCCCAAAGAACTTACCATCTTAGTATAAGACAAGAGACAACAGATGGACGCAGAGACGGCAGTACAAGGAAACAATGAGAGAATATTGGTCAGCATGATTGGCTGTGGTCTCAGCACACAGCGGCCTTACCATTGTCAAGTTGTAACCTTCTAGTAGCCTCATTCTAAGCAACTAGGAAGGGTAGAGATGCCGCCTCAAACACCAGTCTTCTATTTCTACACTCAGCAGCCACTCTGACAATGCAAGTGATCACTAATTGGTCTGGTTCAGCATCATCAGATAGGGTCAGACACTCACAATGACGACACTGACCACTCAAATCCTGGACAGGTTTAAGAATATCATCTGTATGGAAATGTTACAAGCATGTAACATTTCTCTCTTATGAGCCTGGTTAGGACAGAGGTTGCCGAAGAGATGTGTCTGAGCAGTAGACTGAGATGGCATCACTTAACAATGCAGTCTGTTCCCAGTATAGTCTTCTCTTAGCTTGTTGTTCACAGTGCCTGTGAACAAACCTCTGATATTTCCTATTCATGAAAGATCTAATCACCTGCCTCCTGATCTAAGGCCATTCATGTGAGTCCTCTATCAACAGGCTCAACCGGTCTGTGATTGTGTCTTCCTTCCCAATGGATAAGTGGCCAGTTAAGCATGTCTTGTGGGACAATCCGTTTCCACACTTGCAAGGCTTTTTAACACAAGGAAGCATATCCTCCTCTTCTGCTTGTTGATGTAAAACATTATGGCCTAATTATTCATATGTATTAGGACCAACTTTTGGTATACTAGTCTCTAAAGATTCTTGGCAATCAAGACTGCGCTTTCCAACAGTTACGATGGTCCTGAAGATACTGTACATAGAATCTGTCTGCACAAATGCCTCATCCCTGCCAGAGCTCATTCGTGGTCACTACCGTTTGGATCACCAGAATTTGAAAGCCCCCTTCCAACTGACACCAAGTCACAGGGCATTGGAGGTCACTCGCCACCTGGATGTTATGTGGACCTCTCTGGATATGTCTACATTGCAGCTGGGCGGTGTGATTCCCAGCATGGGCAGCCAGACTTGCCCGTGCTCTGCATGAAATAGCAGCGTGGAGGCTGCAACACAGGCAGTGGCTTGGGTTAGCCACCGAAGTTTGGACCTGGGAGGTCAGACAGGCTTGGATTTGGGTGGATAGCCTGCAGTGGATTCCCACCAGCACTGAGAATTGCATCTCCCAGCTGCAGTGCAGACACACCCCGTAGAGCTTAGCAACACCAAGACTCTGGGGTTGTTTGAGTTTGCCTCATCTGTTGGCATGTGATAGCGGATATCTTTTGGCCCTGGCAAATCCTCTCTGCTGGATCCACAATGTCCTGATGCAGGAATGTCTTGAGTTAAGCCTTCTACCACAGGATTCTTTTGTACTGTCTGTCTCTACTGAACAAACTGAGACTTTGGGCAGATAATCTTGAACCCCAGAGATGCAAACAAGTTGATACCAGCAATGGACTGATGCTTGGATCTCCTCCAAAGTGATGGTCTTGATCAGCCAATTATCCAGATAGGGGAACAACTGAACTCCATTTTTTAGGTACCTACCTACGACTGTATCTTGCTGGACCAACACAAATGCGCCTTAAACACAATCTCAATGCCTAGTTGAGACACTCAACTAAGTACTCAAGGACTGTGCTACTATGGCCTAGAGAGCCAATATTTCATCTGACTTATGAGATGCATCAGAGGAAGCCAGGAGAGTTTTGAGGCTCTCCATGCAGGACTTGACCGCTCACCGTGATAGCCGTGAACAGATCTCAAAGCGGAGCCAGTCTTGCTCCATTCCAAAGTACAGGGCACAGTAGATATATATGCCTGTTTAGGAAGGACTTGGTTTGACCACACTCTGAACACATTTTAAAGCCTAGAATGCTACCTTCTCTCCATACCTCTAGATAATAAAAGGAATTGAGGGAAAAAGGGGGGGAGGAACAAATCAAAATGTTCACCTGTGCAAATGCTGAAAACAAGGAAAAACCAATCCCCTCGAACAGAGCTGTAGCCCGAGAGGTCAGAGTTTCAATGTGCCAAGTGACACATGCATCACTGTCTGCTGATCAAGCTGGAATGCTTTGAAGAAGTGGGCGGTTCTGAGGGTTGGAGTTCCAAGTCGTCTAACAAATCGTTTTTGGGATGGTGGAATAATGCAACGATTGAAGTGCCAGAGTCTGGAAAAAGTATACTCTGTGATGTCGTTAGTGCTGATGAGGTGTCCACGTGAGCTGGTAGCCATGAAGCCTGAAGTAGCTACGTACAACAAATAAAAGGGAAGCTCCCACACTGTCTAAAACAATACGACAGTGATACATATGGCCTAAAATGGAACAATTCAAGACTATTTGATCTAGACTTTGCTGACGACATCGCTCTTATCTATGAAAATACCAATGGACTACAAAAATGCACAAACCAAATAAAAGTAGTAATGGAGAAGATAGGTTTGAGATACAATGCAAAGAAATGTAAAGTCATGTTAATCGGGATTATAGGGACAGAAATCAAAATTGAAGAGGAGAAACTGGAGAAGGTGGACAATTTTATGTATCTTGAAAGTACCATCAGCCAAGACGGTACTAGTTCCAAGGAAATAAGAAGTATCAGGAAGGCAAACGCTGCATTTGGAAGACTCAAAAACATCTGGCAACTCAAAAACACCTCCTTCAAGACAACACTGAACATGTAAAAAGCAATTATTATCGCCATCACAACATATAGCAGTGAGACATGGCAACTTACCAAGAAAGATACGCAAAAGCTGGATGCATTTCATCACAAATGTGTGAGAAGAATATTGGGAATAATATATAGAGATAGGAAGACAAAAGAAGTCAGAAAAATCACTGGACAAGGCACCCTCTCACAAATAATCTACAAAAGAAGACATCAGTGGCTGGGACATGTGCTGAGAATGGAAAAAGAACACATACCAAATACTGCCCTTGAATGGAAGAAGAAAGAGAGGAAGACC